TGGCTATGAGACGGAACCAACTCCCTGGCCCCTAACAGCAATGGGACGGAGTGTGTGCGTGTTATTTGGGGCAGGGTCCATGGCGAGAGACTAAGTAGCCTCCAAGCATGAGTATGTAATGTGAGATGGGTGGGAAGGCGGAACACATGCCTGTGTGGCACAGATGACAGGTTTTCCAGCTCGGTTGCACCGCCCAATCATCATCTTCTGGGCTAGGAAGACCTTCTCTGCAGGAATCTCAATGCCCAGATCACCACGAGCCACCATGATCCCATCGCTGGCCTCCAGGATCTCATCGAACCTGACAGGGAAGGGAGGAGAGTTATACTAAACACACCAGCGGGACCACGAGAAAGCCTTCCTGATTTAGGTCCTGCCTGCTGGGTTTCTTCAGCACCAGTATGGACACACTGGGTGTGTCCATATCCACTTCTTTACCATATCCACTTTCATTCTCCTGACTGCCTTTACCATATCCACTTCTCCATCAGCACATCCAAGGCAGAAAGGGCACCCAAATCCTCAACTAGCCAAGGACACTTGAGGGCTACCACCCTTCGAAGTGCTCCCCTCTAATCTGCTGAGGGCAGCAGGACTTGTGACTTTGGCCTAGTGCCAAGGCCAGACAGCATCTGTGGCTTATCGAGATGGCAGGCGGGGAGACCCCCAAATCACCATCTGCACTAAGAATTTGGGAGGTCCCCATGGGCACACAGTGCAGCTCCTCCCACCCTCTCCTAAGCACAGTCCTAGCACGCAAGAGCAGGTTGGAGTTTTTCAGCAGTGCCAAGCTGGCCATGGTCATCTGGCCCCACCTTGTAAGCAATCAGGAGGTGGGTAAGCTGAATCGGAGAAGAACCACACACTTTCCCCTGAGAACCTGACTGGACCATCCAGAGCTAATCCAATCGTCCTATCAGCTTCTGCTTTCTTACTGAAGGCAAGGAAGCCATACACTTCCATGAGTTCCCAAGAGAGGGGCACCGAGCACTCCTACCTACTAGGCTAAGGTGGTAGGGGTGACTTACCTTCTAACTCCCTCATGATTCTCGATTTTGCTGATTATCTTGATGTTCTTGCCTTTCTCTCCCAGGACCTTCCTAACTTCATGGACATCGGCTGCCTTGCGGATAAAAGATGCAAACACCATATCCACGTCCTGCTCTACCCCAAACTTCAGGTCCTGGATGTCCTTTTCCGACACTGCAGGCAGGTCCACAGCAGCCCCAGGGAGGTTCACGCCCTTCTTGCTGCCCAGTGAGCCACCGTTTTCCACCTCTGTCAGCAGGAAGTCAGCACCTGGGCGGAGCAGACAGGTGAGATAAACAGAACACGGACACATCTGTTCCACACAGATCTACCAGCCAGCAGACAGGCTGCTTTTCTCCCCAGAACAGGGAACTGGCAAAGAGCACATCATGGGATCGGGAGCCAGACTTCCAGAGTTCAGATCTCCACTGTAACCCTGGGCAAGTTAATTGACCACTTTGTGCCTTAGTTTGCTCACTCATGAATAGGGATAGTACTCATTCATAAAATTATTTAAATATTTAAATGAGTTTTCTTACAACACACTTAGAAGAATAGTGCCTGGCACCTAAATATTAGCTATCATCTCACACTGGAGTCCTACCCACATTACACTGAGATGTGGAGGAAACAAGCACACAAATTAATGAGGAAGAATAAAAAAGAAATCCTCTCATATGCTCTCCAGAGCCAGAAGAGGATGAAGAAGCTAGACCGAAGCCTGGATTTTGAAGACAATGAGTTTTAAGAGGGGATTCTCAAGAGCATATAGACCTAATTGCTTGGTGCCAGCCAGCCAAACCTCCTATCTACTTAAGAGTTTCAGAAATTGGAGATGGTTATAGACAACTAGACCCTGACTTATGCATACCTTTCTCCTTCACCTGCATAGAAATAAGCCCATCATCCACGTAGATCTTGCTGCCCACTTCCACCACTTTGCAAATGTTCTTGTATTCTAGCCAGAGGACGTTCTCGTCACACTTTTTCATGTACGCGTTATCCAGAGTAATCTTGAGAGTGGCGCCCTTCTTCAGCTCCACCTCCGCGGTGCCGCTCTGCAGACAAGAGAGAAAACCACGAAGCTAAGCTGCAGAAACCAGCTGGAAAAGGTGTTCGAACTGCAGCCCAAAACACAGGTAACATTTTGTATGTGTATCAACAAATGCTCTTACACTCTCCAGCTAAGTTTGTTTCAAGGAAATCACCTAAGGATGGGTGGGTGGCTCTACATTGCTAATTAATGTTAATGGTGCGTTTTTTGTGTCAGTTATTGGCTAAGTAGATCAAATGAACATTTTTCTCTGATCTACTCTCTTTGTAGACCTAAACATGCAGCATCCAGACAAGGTAGCAAGTGCTGAGGAGAGACCCATCCTGCCTCTTGCCCCTTTCCTCATGATTCCCCACTAGATACTCACGCCCTTGATGAGCCCAGTTCGGATCTCAGGGCCCTTAGTGTCCAGGGCCACAGCAACTGGCCGGTAGAGAATGGAATCAGAAGCAAAGCTCTCTGTGGCGATGCGCACATTCTTGATGGTCTCTGCATGGTACTGAAGGAAACAGAAAAAGGAGGCTAAATCATACACATACCAGCAGGGTCCAGCTCCTTGCCTGGGAAAGGTCAATGAATGCTCTAGATCCTCACGGTAACTATGACACCAACCCATCATTGTCTGGCTTTGGTTATACCTGCTCACTGAGAGCACTCTATGTGCCTAGTTCAACCACCTCAGCTTAAACCAAGACTGGTGGCACAGTGGGTAACACATTTGGACTGTTAAGGGAAAGGGCAGCAGACGGAACCCACCAGCTGCTCCACAGGAGAAAAGACGGGGCAGCCTGCTGCTGTAAAGATTTGCCACCTCAGAACCCCACTGCAGCAGTTCTACTCTCAAGGTCACCAGGGGTAAGAACCGACTCACCCGCAGAGGGCAAGCAACAGTTTAAATCCACTTCTACCATTGAAACATTTCACTCTAAGAAAAAGTCTTAGGAACTTTTGGAATAGTGCCACCAAAAACCATCAAAGGGATGGATACTAAACAAGTCTGATTACAAAGGTCTTTTGTATGGCTGCTCTTCAGCTGTTCTCTTCATCCTAGGACTTGTTAAAGACTGAGCAAATACAGCAGACAACTGGGGCACAACATCTAGGCCCTCCAGTGTTTGGATAGTAGTGGCCTGGTAATCAGTGTCAGATTCTGGTAGATATGGTAATTCAGAGAGTCTTTTCTCTATTGATTACAATTACAATTCAAACTCACTTATTTACTTAAGCTAAACAGTGATCCAAGCTAAATAACCCAAGGCTGAGGTCAAGCAAAAAAAGCCAGGTGTTCACAATCACTTTCTAGAGATGGACCAGAGAGCTAAGTGGAGTAGGGAAAGTGGAGCTTTGTGTTTGCCTCACAAATCCTGGCTTCAATCTTCTCTGATGCCCTTTCTCTCTTGTAAGCAGGGCTGTCATTTGCAAGAAGCTAGGACTACATTAATCCTTAATGTAGATGGTACCTAACACCTAACGCTTGTATTTGAAAATCCTCAGCTGGGAATTCAGGTCCTGGTGTGGCTCTGTAAGATAAGCACTGAACTGCTAACCACAAGATTAGTGGTTTAGACCCACCAGTTGCTCCTCCGAAAGCCTATGCTGGTTTGCTCAGAACTGATTCGACGACACTTAACAACTACAAGGAGGGAAGTATCTGAGTGGTACAAACAGTTAATGTGTTTGCTGCTAACTTCCACCCAAAAGCGCCTCAGAGTTTCTACTGTTGGAAAATCAGCTGGTGAAAACCTGCAGAGCACCACAGTTCTATTGTGGTACACACTGAAGTTATGAGATCTGCATGTTTGGCTATAATTAAGTCTTCTGAGCACTGGCTTCTCCCCCTACCCAACCATTTGTGTGTGTGTGTAGTTCTTATTGTTGGGGGGGGGGTTGTTTAGGACACACGTCTGTGAGATGTTTTAAAAGTCTTCTATTATGGTTTCACCAATCAATGCTGTCTCTGTGGAAAGGTTCTAAATTCAGGTTGTTTAAAAGTCACCAGTTCTAGCCAACTTGGCATTGTGAGACTTTCACATTCAGCAAGAACACATCTTGCCCACGTGAACTACCAAAGTGGGGACAGAGACAAAGTGCCAAAGCTGTCACGAGATCAGATCCAGAGAGTGGGTGTCCCTCCGTCACAGTGAGAGAAAGAGAGAGGGGAAGCAACTTCAGTGTCCAATTCAAAAAAACATTCAGAATAGTCAAGTATTGGCAAGACACATTGAAAGCTCTAGTCAAAAGTACACAGTCTAAGGAGCCCGACACACTGTCTAACAAAAAATATACGTTATATTTTATTATACAATATTAGAACAATTTCAAGATGAACTTCCAAAAACCTTAAGCCCAGCAGCACTACCATTCTGCTCGAAGACCTCAAAAACAAACCCATAAGACTCTGAGACTTGCCTTTTCATTTGTTTTTGTTTTAAATCCAAGTTCTAATCTGAGACTGAAGAAGCTCAGATAATCTCCCAGTGCTGTTTGTGATGAAAAACTCCGCATCCCTGAGCCAGCAGGCGTAGCAGCCATCACTGCCATTTTAGAGCTGTGCAGTGTTATTTACTGGAGTGAAGGGGCCATAAAGCCTAGTTAAAGGTCAACTCCTTAGAATCTATTTCTGCTCTTTCCCCTGCCCACAGGAGACCTGGGGCCACTCCAGCAACAGGAATCAAGGCTGAGCAGATAGATCTTCACTGCAGTCTCAGTGCTGTGTTTTGACTAAGCCATCACTTGTGACAATTCCGGTGACTCCTGCTGAGGGCCCTCCCCCTGCCTTAGCAAAACAGAGACTGTCAAGAGGGGCATGATTTAACCTGCCCAGTGTGTCTGCTGGGCACAGCCCCTCTGAACTCGGACAGGCCCCCATGACATTTAGGCCAGCTGCTTGTCAGGCCATGGGCCATTTATGGAGCATGGGTTAGGGAGTCCATGATGAAGAGTCTCAAGTTTCCAGAAAGAGGGAATTTGCCCCTTGGATTGCATTTCCTGAGACTTTATTTTTAGTCTAAACATAACATCAGCTTCTAAATGTCACAGGGCAACCCCATGGCACTGGACCTCACGGGCTAGCATTTGAAAAAACAAACAACAGACAAACTCTGAACTAGAAGAACAGAAGGCAAAGGAGAAGGAAATTTGCTTCCTCCACAATTTCTCTTCCAGTGCCAGTGTGAAATCCATGGCCTAAGTATAGTCAACCAAAGAGCCCCCAACAACTTGGGAAGAGTCCTGACTGGTTTCGTTCTAATGGACCAGAACCCCATTGGGGAGACAGGCTGGGAATACAATGCTGATAATAAGGTATGTCAGGAAAAGGAGTCCTCGTGACTTAAACCAAATTTTGGCAGATTGAACCCACTAGCCAGGCACTCAGGAGAAAGACCTGGTGATCTGCTCCTATCAAGATTTCCATCAAGAAAACCCTACGGGGCAGAGAACAAACAAGATGGCGCATCGGGTGGATGTATAGCAGAAAGCTTCGCCAACAACAACACAGAATACCCGAACACGCAGGCTCAGGGGCTGGTTCCAGAACTCTGAACCACATATAAAGGAATACTTAGAAGGTTGGAAGGCTCACAGCTGGGGGAATTTGTGGCAGAAG